AATTCGCAAGAATCATCCTTTCATCAAGGATAAGGCTTTCGTTATGGTTCAAGAAGTCAGCACTGGTCATCGTAGCAGATTTAATAGCAGTAAGTGACGAATTAGGAGGCAAACTTCGTGTTAAGGCTACAATGCCACTCAGGTGAGGTGTTGACATTGAGATTTAAGTTGAATAGGGCCATTGAATTTGTGTTGTTATCCACAGAGGAAGGCCAGGCAGCAAGAATGTTGACACCTAAGCCAACGAGATCAAGTTTAAAAATCCCAACGCTTGTCAAGCTTAGGCCTCTTGAGAAGAAAAGTGCAGCTATAGAAGCATATTTTACTCTTATAATCGTTCCTTTGAACACTATGGTGGCAGTGGATCTACATATAGGGTTTATGTATGCCTTTGTTGCTTCTCTATAAGCAAAACTCACCTTAGTTGTGCGGAGGTGAGATTTAACACCCATATGCATCTCTATTTGTCACTATTATAGCAGCTCCCACTAGCATCTCTCATAGTCTGTCCTAAATCAAATGTTTCGAAGAATCCATCAATTTCACATAAAACCACTTTACTAGCAACAAAGTCTTGTTCAATATGTTGGGGTCATATTTTTCCAATTGCTAGATGTGCTAGGGGCAGCAATGTGCTTAGAAAAGCCCTAGGCTGGAAGACTAATACATGATCATGCATTGTTATCTAGCATAGTTGTTGCCCTTATACTGCAGTCCATGGTACTTGCACCCATAGTCAAAATCCATGGTACAGAATTTGCTAGTGTATCATGGAACGGTCCTTTATCACTAGTTGCACAATCGACAATAATCCCTTTTTGAATTGCCCAAAAGCATCGATTGCAATACCATTTGCACCCATGTACAATAATAGTTTCCTGGTTGTGACGATTCCTCACATGCATCATCCTTACAAGCTTGATACAAGACTAAATGAGTCAGTGGTGTTATTCCAGCTGCCATGTCATTAACTAGGCCAAAAATATTGGCACCGCATTCAAGAGTTAGACTTCTTTTTGTGGTTAAACTATATCTAATGTTTGTAGAAATAGGATTTTTCTTCACTTGGTTTTGTTGAAGAGCTTGTATTGAGGTCATTTTATAGTAGCAACGCCAGTTAATATGTATCATATAACATGATACAATTTGGACTGTTTTGGATATAAATAGCTTTCTAATCCTTTTATCACGATATGTGCACATATTGTGCACGTGCCCTAAACTCCTTGTGAGATGACTAGATTTGTTAGAATTTATCACTTTTTCATTAGAAATCCTCCATTAACTTTATTTTATAAAAATGAGAAATTAAATTAGTAAGTAGTGACAATAAGGGACTAAATTGATCACAACTTGAAAAATAAAGAACCAAAATTATTGTTTTAAAATGGTACGTACACATACCTGCACATGATAAGTACCATTAGGGCTCTCTAATTTTCTATTTGAAGTCCTACTTTGCTTTATTTTAAGAGATAAGAGAATAAATTGATAGATGCTAATATATAGAAAACTAGATTTGCTGCAACCTTAAAGATAATAGACCAAAATGGTTATTTTCCCTAAAGGTTAATAACGTAAAAATTATAATATGTTCAAATATCTTTCCTTACTTTGTAGGGCGATGTAAGATCTCACGAAAGTCACACAGGAAGCATTGTTGATGAAGTCTTTGTTGCCAATTTTTTGTGTTTTCTAGATAAGTTTGATTTTTGCATAGAGCTCTCTTTTATTAGAGTCATACTGGTGTTGAAATTACATTCTAAAAGTTGCCAGGATGAGCTTTTGGTGAGTTCTCCTTCCATTTTGGCCGGATATTGATAAAGAACATGACTATCTTATTAGAGTTAGATTGTCTTTATGCAAGTTGGGCATCCGACTTGATTCTTCTAGGTCAGACTGACATTTCTTTTCTTTTCCTTCTATTTTTCTTTATTTTACTCATGTTAAAAATTTTCCAAAGACAAAATTTGAAAAGATCAAAACATACTCAGCTGTTCTGCATTTTCCCTACCTAAACTTTATGCTACTTGACCCAACTGATCTCTAGATCTTAACTTGTGCCTTCATCATGCATGACTTGTATACTTGCAGTAATAGTTTGAATATAAAGTAAAACTGCACCATCAAAATCCATCAACTTTGCATAAAACCACATTGCCAGCAACAAAAGTCTTGTTCAATGTGTCTGGGGCATATTTTCTAGTTGCCCAATAAAATATCCCATATCGAACGGAATAGGAGAAGAGGAATAATATATAATGTCCAGCCCATCAAGTTACTAATAGTTTTGGGTTAACTAATTTGAACTCATGATTTTAACTTAAAATATTATTGATCTAGTTTGTTAGACGTGAGGTGTTACATTGGATGTATTAGGGGTAGCAATATGCTTGAAAAAACATTAGATTAGAAGATACACCATCAAATCGTGCATTGTTATTTAGCATGGCTATTTTCCTTATACTGCAGTTCATGGTGCTTGCACCCACAGTCAGAATCCATGGTGCATAATTTGATAGTGTACCACGGAATGGTCCTTCATCTCTAGCTACGCAGCTGACAATAACCCCTTTTTAAATTGCTCGAGAAGCACTAATTGCAATGCCATTTGCAAATATTACTCCTCGTGTCCTCCAATAGAGAGTGATAGCACTTCAACATCTACAATGGCAACTTTCATGGTTGCAACGATGGTGTTTTCCTCACATGCATGCTCCTCACAAACTTGATATATGGCTAAATGAGCTAGTGATGCCATTCTCGCTGCTATGGCATTTGTTTGGCCAAAAACTTTGGCACCATATTTAGGAGTTAGACTTTTTTTTGGTGGTTGAGCTATATTCTATGTTTGCAGGAGTTAAGTTTTCTTCACTTGGTATTGTTAAGGATTTTGTAATTGGTCACTTTCTAATGGGTTACGTTTTATATGGATCATAAAACATGATACGACTTGGACATTTTTGGACATAGATAACTTTCTAATCCTTTTATTAGGATATGTACACATACCATGCACATGCCGTGCACATGCCCTGAACTTGTTGTGAGGTAGCCAGTTTTGTTGGAGTTTTTCACTTTTTCGTTACAAATTGATAGGGTGCACTTTAGTGGGTTATTTCGCTAATATTTCATAATGATTTTGACTAAATATTGCACTATTTGGTATTAATTGCAGAAATTGGTGGAAAAAAAGATTCTAAAAATCAACATTCCAGAAGACTTGCTGACAGTTAGGCGTGGGCACACTGAAGTCACGTCCCAGGATGGGATTGTCGGGATCTCACACGCACGGGGGCAGTTTCCAAAGAATTGTGGACTCCAAGTCCAAGGCTGTGCTGGAATAGTTACTGCTTTTTTTCTATTAGGTAATTGAGTACTATTAGGAATTATTTTTCTTTCTTGTTAGGATTTTGGGGAGATTAGGAAAGTGGAGAAAAACTAGGACTAGCGTGAGTTTCTTTCTCTGGTGGGTCTGGCCACAAAAGGCAATCAATTCATTCACCTTTTTGGTCGCTAGAAACGCAGAAAAGAAGGATTGTACTTTTCTCTTTGACTTTTCTTGCCTTTTGGCAAAAGCTTGGAGGAAACCAACGAAAAGCCACAATTGTTGACTTGTTCTACTTTTCCTTCTTTGACCGAATTTGTGAGACAAGATTTGACAATTTTTTTCAATTCTTTTCGCATGGCCTGTTTTCCACTTATGGAGAACTCAATTCTTATTTATAGTCAAAGGGACAACTGAAGATTTGGTTCGACAATAACTATGAGATCTAAATTATTTTAATTGCTTCTTTCGTTCATTGGTATTTGTATGTTTTCTGCTTTTAATGGTTGTAGTTATTGTGCATGATTAAATAGTGCGCAATATTTCATTATTCACGTAGTCTACTTGCTAATTGAGGGTAGTTGAATCCGTAATTGTTTGATCATCCACATCCTGGTGGCAACCAGCATAATTGGATTTATGTCAGGAAAACATATAATCTAATTTAAGTAAACCCTCGTAGCGTGTTTATTAATTAGAGTCAAGTTTCTCTAGTTGCTAATGCAATTGGCGAATTAAACCCTATAGTCGTACCTATGGTTATTCTTGAATTAAGAAAATAGTCAACGTTCGTACCTTGACAATCAAAACAGTAAGGAGGGACTGATTATCGAAACGTATTTTGGTGTTAAGGATCTTGTAATGGGTCACTTTATAATGGGTTATGTTTTATATGGATCATAAAACAAGATACGACTTGAAAATTTTTGGACGTAGATAACTTTCTAATCATTTTATTAGGATATGTACATATACCATGCACATGCCGTGCACATGCCTTGCACATGCCCTGCACATGCCTTGCACATGCCCTGAACTTGTTGTGAGGTAGTCAGATTTGTTGGAGTTTTTCACTTTTTCGTTACAAATCATCCATTAGCTTAATTAAATTAGTAACCAATGTTACTAAGGGACTAAATTGATAACAACTTCTTCTAAACTTTACCATTCCTTCCTCCCAAAAACTTCCACTGGCACAATTGATGCCTCACGCTTAGTTTATTCTTATAACCATGTCATTATTGGCTTTGCAGCCAGATTGTCGCTTGATGAAGTGAAACAAATGGAGAGGATGACAGGATTCTTATATGCCAGACCTCAAAAGGTATTGGCACTTCAGACCACATGCAGTCCCAAATTCCTGGGGCTGCAACCCCATGACGGGCTTTGGCCCCTAGCCAACTTTGGCCAAGGCATCATAATTGGGTAATTGATAATGGAATAAAACCTGACCACTTGTCCTTCAATGATGAAGTGATGCCAACACCACCAACCGAATGGAAAGGAAAATGTCGTTTGAATAGCACCACCTGTAACAAGAAGCTTATAGGTGCAACCAAGATATCTTTGGGTATGACTGGACTGCCTGTCGACGTGGGAGCACACGGAACACACACTGCAAGCACTACTGCTGGTGCATTTGTCAGCGGTGCCAATGTTTATTGCCAAGCTAATGGCACGGCAACACTTGGCCATTTATCAAGCTTGTGAGGATGATGGGTGCGAGGAAAGCACCATTCTCGTAGCCATGGAAGCTGCCATCGCAGACGGTGTCAATGTGTTATCACTCTCTCTTGGAGGACAAGAGGAGCCTTACTTTGCAGACGAGATAGCAATCGGTGCTTTTCGAGCAATCCAGAACGGGATCATTGTCAGCTGTGCCGCTGGCAATGGAGGACCGTTCCATGGTACGCTATTAAATACCGCACCATGGATTTTGACGGTGGGTGTGAGCACAATTGACCGCAGTTTTAGGTCTATAGCTGTGCTTGGTAACAATTCACAGTTTGATGGTGTATCAGTCCATCAACCTAAGGTTCTTTCAAGGACATTGATACCCCTAGTACGTTTGGCAGCTAGAAAATGTGCCCGTGGCACATTGAACAAGACTCTTGTTGTTGGCAAGGTGGTATTGTACAAAGCTGATGAACCCTTCGAAACATTTAATTTGAGGCAGGGCATAAGAGATGCTGATGGGGCAGCAATAATAGTGGTCAACGGAGACACAGACTTGTGTGCTACCTCACCTCAAGTTGATGTGATTCCCACTACTATAGTGAGTCTTGTTGTCGGGGAAGCGATAAAGGAGTATATAAACTCTACATTTGCACCTACTGCCATGATAGCATTCGAAGGTACAGTTTTTGGATTAAAAGAAGCTCCTGCCATAGCATTTTTCTCCTCGAGAGGTCCGAGCTTGACGAGCCCCGAAATTCTTAAACCTGTATCGTTGGCCCAGGTGTCAGCATTCTTGCTGCCTGGCCTTCCTTTGTGGACAACAGCAAAAATTCAACTGCTTCATTCAAGTTACAATGTGGAACCTCAATGTCAACACCTCACCTGAGTGGCATTGCAGCCTTAATACAAAGTTTGCATCCCGATTGGTCGCCTGCTGCCGTTAAATCTGCTATTATGACCAGTGCTGACTTCTTGAACCATGATGGGAGCCTTATCCTTGATGAGAGGATGCTTCTTGCAAATTTATTTGCAATTGGTGCTGGCCATGTAAATCCGGCAAGAGTTGCTGACGCTGGATTGGTTTATGACATCCATCCTGAGGATTATCTTCAATACTTGTGCGGTTTCAATACTTGTGTGGTTTGAACTACACAGATGATCAGATAGTGTTCATTACGCAGCGCCGGATCACATGTGCGAATATTTACAGCATCCCCGAAGCTGAACTCAATTATCCTTCATTTTCTATTCAGTTGGGGTCTGATACTCAGACATATAGAAGAACGGCGATGAATGTGGACAAGACCTACTTAGTTTACAACAATCTGATCACATCCATCCCAAGGATCGATATTGTCGTATATCCAACTGTCCTGCGGTTCACAAGAATGAACCAAAAGATTACATATCAGATCAGCTTCAAAGAACAGACAGGTTCGAAAATGCTACTTACATGCAGGGCTCATCGCCTGGAGCTCAAAGCAGCACTCTGTGAGAAGTCCCATTTTGATTAAATTAATCTAGCAGATATGTGAGTAGTGAGTAGTGACTGCTGTTTCTAATTAAGCAAATTATGCTCGTTGAGTGTTATAAGCCTTGACCTGTGATGTATGTGTTAAACGATGCAAACTCCATGGTAAAACTGCTAAATTTCAAGAAGTTTTAAGCATTGAAGTATTTTAGTGTCTTCTCTTAACATGGTTACTGAAGGAAACTTTTTTTTCTGTTGCAATTATCCATGGAACAGAAATGATTATACAAATATCACTAGTAATACACTTGAGCAATGTAAAGCACTAGAAAAATTAGAGGAAAATATCAAAGTAGAACTAAGAAAATGATAAAAAAAAAAAGAGGGAGGAGCAGAGTTTTTCAAGGAAAAACAGGCCTGGTCGTCCAGCCCTGTTTTCATTCGAATATCTCTTTCGATTTTGAGTTTCTTTCCAGTAATTTTGTTTTTGCACTTTCTCATAAGATCAAGAAATAACTTCTACCTGAAAATGATCATAGGGCAACAATCAGTTGATCACATCCCAGAATCAACAAAGATTAAGATCACTAACCATGCATAGATAGACGTTTTTGAGGAATTTAAACAAAACTATGCACAATCTTGGTCCTCCTCATGATTCATAATACCATATAATGTCCTGTTATTCCAATCTTTTTTTCCCAAGAAGTGCTAATAGAGTATCCGATTGAACAATCTTCACCATCTGTCTTGCCTCTTTCGCCGTAGTCTTCCCCATCCATCTTTACCTGTTTCGCCATAATCACCAAATAAATTTAAGCTTCTTGTTCCCGTCATTTGGTTGGTTGTTGTATACAATTATAGTTCATGTTCACGTCTAAAGAAATTTTCCCAATGTAGAATAAATAAGATCCACCACGTAGTCTCTCTCCTAAAAACGATCATAGGATGACAATCGCTTGGTCACATTCATTCCCAGAATCAACAAGTAAAGATTAAGATCACCAACCAACCGTGCCTATATAGATAGACCTTTTAGAGGAATTTAAACAAAAAAAAACTATACACAGACTTGTTCTTACAAAAATTCATGCAGCAGAAATAAAAATAGAAAGATCAAGACGTAAGCTAAAAGACACACGAGCGTATTTGGAAAGTAGATTATTTGAGATAACTTTTTTAAAAGGATACTGTAAAACTTTTTGGATGTGATTTATGTAAAATTAAAAATGATTGAAAATATATTAATAATATAAACAAATAAAATTTGATAAATAATCTACCATCCAAACAAACCACTAAGTTTTTCCAATTCTCAAGAACACGAACATAAAAAGTATGGAAGATGGACGCAACTCCCTGCAAGAGCAAAGTCCTTAGATAAAGAAGGTTTGGAGTAATGCAATTGTTGGTTTGTTTGGATAGAGTATTATTTGAAATATTATTTCGAATAATTCGTATAACATTTTTTATAATATGATATATATAAAATAAAAAAATAATTAAAAATATAAAAAGGTGAATTGAAAAATATGTTTACGATACAAACGAAATATTATTTAAAAATATTTGATATCCAAACAAAACCAAATGTGTATTATTCACTCAAGACAACCGTCTAAGCTAATTAATAATTAAACCCAACACTAACTTGACCTTAATATATAGTATAATACCAAATGATGTAGAATTCTAATTAGCTTGGTTTAAAACTCCTTAAAGTTATCAAGAAACCATAAGTGGAAAAAAAACCACCATCTATGACAAGATTTTAACGAGTTATACCTAAGCTAAAGGTTTCAAATGACTCTTTTTCTCATTATCTTAATTCACACAATTTACTCATGGATGGTTACTGAAGGAATTTTTTTTTCCAAAAAGTGCTAATGGAGTGTCTGATTGAACAACCTTCACCATCTTTCGTATATGTTTCGCCATTCGGGCAAAACCATATACATAGCATAATCGCGTTGAAAGATTATGTAGAAACGAAACCTTTTCTTACCAATGAAAGGAAAAGAGAAAATATAACAGAGGAAAAGTGAAATGAAATTGGTTTGGGCTTCAGGAAGGATAGATTACAAATAGGAATGTCCTAAATTTTGGAAAAAGGGAAAAACTGGCTCATTCAATTTTAGATCTAATATCGAAATTTGGACAACTACCAGTAAAACGGATATCAGTGTTAATTGATTAACAACTATGTTAGAATGCAAATTGAACCTTACTCAATTTCCCATTATTGGTCGAATTATCATATTTTATATGTTTATTGCATATCATATGATTATGTACCTGCTAGGCTACTAATCTATTACATATTTTTTTATACTAATATACTAATTAATATTATTATAAATTACAACTTACTATAACTTATGTTGCTATAGAATTCCTACTAATAATCTATTACGTAGGTGCAAAATTCTGGTAATCAAATGGTTTGTGAATCATGACCATTTGTCCATCCTATTTGCATTTGCCAACTCCGTGTAGGAACAAAACCTTTTTATCAATAAAAAACAAGAGAGAAAAGTGAAATGAAATTGGTTTGGGCTTTAGGAATGCTAGATTTAAAAACAGGGATGTCCCAAATTTTGAAAAATTTTAAAAACTAACCCACTTAATCTTGATCTGCAGTTAATTTTGGTCCAGCACTTGTACTTTAGCTTTTATTGCTCCCAATGTGCTCCAACCAGTTAATGTGTTTAGCATGCTATTCAAATTTCCGGCATTCACTTATGTTATTTTGTTTCCCTTTATTACTTCAATGCTCTATTTTAATTAATAACAACTCTTCATAGATGGGGGTCATCATAATCTTTTTTTGTTTATGATCCTTAGATCATATCATCTTTGCCATTGTGATATATATATTTAGGTATTTTGTGCTATATTTGCCTATTACTTTGCTTTTCTTAGGACACTAGGGGGTAAGCCGGTGCTTTAACCTATGTGATAAAATATTTATTCAAATAAATTTATAAAAAAAAGATAGCAGAAATAGAATTGCATGTAATAGTTACCACAACAACTATACCAAAAACATCATTACCTTTGTTATTATACCATTATAACACAATCCAATCAACAATTAACATGTAACAACTATAAGGCCAGATTTAGATCCTACATTGGTCATAAAATTGCAGTCAATAGATAATCTTTAGTCATAGCTCAACCACCTGCAACCACGAACATTAGATTTTGGAAATATAGTTAGAAAATGTAAGATGGTTCCTATGAATATTCATATGTATGTATCATGTGAGAACCTTGAATTTTGCAGATAAATACCAATGCATACTTCAATTTCACCTTTATCTAGCATTAGTATTCCTTAATCTTTTCTAGCATTACTTTCACTCGCTTTTATATACTAGTGCATATTTTATTCGTAGTTCTTCTTCTAATCTATAACATTATTTCATTTGTTTTAAATAAGTAAATTAAAAATAACTTTTATGTGCAAAATAATATAACGGTGCTAACTATTAAAGCACTTAGCTTTGCTTCACTAAGTTAATAATTCTTGAGTTTTATTAAGTTTACTTCTTAAAAATAATTCTTTAATTTTCAATAGCTAATTTTAATTTCGAATAAGGTTAAGTGCAGATAGAAACCTTAATATTATTTTGCAACCGATAAATTCTAGATAAAAATAATACAAGTATTCTAACCATACTTAAGACGTAAAAATTCCGATAATCAAAGCCTTGCAAGATTAGCGAATCATTAGGCGTTCAAATCACACTTGGGGATAATTTTTGGAGCTAAGTTAGAACTAAGGTCTTAAGTGGATAATAGGAGAAGAAGTGAAAAGACTAAACTACCCTTCACAATTTCACCATAATCACCCCACGGCCATAACCATTCCACGCAACGCCAAACACTCCCTCGGACACCATGATCACTCACCTCTCCATTCGGCCAATGCTCATCTTCACCACCTGCACACTTGAACCTCCCAAACACTCCACCTTCATCTTGTTATCATCGACCGAGAGTGAGGGAAAGGATGAGCTGCACCATATAGCCGAGAGTGAGGGAGGAAGCTGAGAGCTGCAATTCCATTTCTGGTTCTGTCCGCGAGCATCGAAGAGGGAGGAGAGAAAGAGAAACCGTGAGCAAACTTCCTTCTGCATTCTCCAAGATCAGCCGGTTGCCATCCAGTCTCCACCACCACCAGTTGCAACCGCTACAACTCAAACCAGAGCCAACATACCTGTGCGAGAGGACAAGAGCCGAGAGAGAGGGACTGACTTCAGCACTTTGTCGTGTGAGTGAGATTCCAGTGAGGTAAATTTCTGGACTGAAAATGGTTAACCAGAGGTAGTATAAGCAATGCTTTGGACTTGCATGTGAGGTCTTTAAGCTCGGATGATGTAACTAGCTAAGTGATAATTTGATGTTAAGCTACCAGAAATTGGAAGGAAAAAAAAATATGGTTCTACCGTGAGCTTGAGCTGGAATGTTGTAGCTTTAATTCGTTATTTGTGGGATCATCAATGTTTGTATTTGTGTATTAATCACCTGAAAACAAGATGATAAAGTCACGCATGAAATTAATTAGCCTGGATTACTCTGGAAAATAAAAATGAAACAGAATTCTTCACATGCAAGCTCACCGAGTAGAAGTTGCACAAAATTCTGGAGTTATGAATGTATATTGCTGTTGCCGAACTGATTTCTGGTCTGGAATGATAGTTAATTAACTCAGTAATTATGCATGTGAGAATTAAGGGCAAAATACAAGGTTTTAACTGAAGAAGAAAAAATTGGATGATGAACTAAGGAGCTTAGGAAAATTCTGTTTTGATGAAGAAAATTTCTGCCGAGAGTTGTTTTGAATAATATAGTTTCATGTGGAATAATCTTGCTGTTTTAAGCCTCTAACCATGACTAACTAGTAAATTACAAGATGATTAAGCTACGCATGTAGTTAATTGGTTGAGTTAGAACAGAAAACAAAAAGAAAAATGCAATCAGTTTCTGTGCAGATTACAACCGAGGCTAGCTGGAATTTTTTTTTCCTTGAAAAAA